TCACTGAGCATGACGTTTTCAAGTTTCATCCACATATAACATATTTCAGAGTTTCACTCCTTTTCATGACTGAGTAATATTCCAGTGTGTGGACAGACCGCGTTGTGTTTATCCACTCACCAGTGGTTGGACACTTGGGCTGTTTCTACTTTTTTGGGTATTGTGACTAGTGCTGCTATTCACATGGGTTTATATGGACTTATTGGGAAACACAATGATTTTTTCACAGCGCTTCCCACTATTTGAAATGACTTACTTGTTTCTTTGTTTACTCGCTGACCTCCCCTGCCACTTATTAGACTATAAATTTCAAGGGAAATGAGTCTTGTTCACTTCAATGTTCTCTGCAGAGGACAGCCACACCTGGCACAAAGGAGATGTTTGGGAAATGCAGGTAGAACGCATGAACGCTGGTTCTGGTGGCAGATACCACACAAGACTCTGACTGTGTGGCTGCATCCATCACAGCATCAGGATATGCACCCCTCCAAGCCAAAGGCATAAAGGCACTGCCCCACGGCAGAGGGGGAGGAGGCCCCAGAGCCTCCAGCGTGAGATCTGGACTTTGCACTTCCTGGATAGCAGAAGTGTAGCTCTGGAAAGAGACCTTTGTGTTAACTAAATAGGAAAGCCAGACCAGTTCTGTGCTGGCCACTGGGGTTCAAAATGCAGATAAGACTTTGCTTTCATAGGCCTTCTGTTGTGAAAAACAGATGGGCAAAGAACTCGGAGCTGGTTTAGAGACATCTTTGAAGCAGAGTGGCTGGGTGGGGGGGTGAATGGCAAGATTTCCCGTGGTGGTGATGATGTGAGTTAGACACTGAGGGTTGAGGACGAGTTGGGTGGATGGAGAAGGGGGAGGGAGGCATTCTGGACAGAGGGCTGTTTGAAAATCTAGGCCCTTCTCTCAAGAGAGGGAACTGGGAGCTGTCCGTGGTGCTGCAGCCACCACCCAGGAGCCCAGCGGGAGAACCAAGCTTGGCGTTTGCCTGGTATATTTTAAATTGTAGTTAAAATATGCATAATATGAAATTTACCATTCTGATCATTCTAAGTGTAATGAGAAGTGGCATCGTTACCTTCACTATCCATCTCTTGAACTTTTTCATCTTTCCAAACTGAAACTGTCCCTGTTAAATACTAACTCCCCATTCCATTCCCCAGTCCTCCATAATGGAAGCTTCTTGAAATCAGAGACATTGAAGTTTTTTATTATTGAATCTCTAATTCCTAGACCAGTGTTTATATTACTGGAAAGCAATTCTACTTTCACCCCCCACCCCCAGGACATTTGGTGATGTCTGGGGACATTTTTGGTTATCACAGCTTGGGGGATGTGAGTGATACTAGCATTGAGTGAATAGAGACCAGAGATGCTGCTCAACACCCTACAATGCACAGTCCAGACTGTAAACGATCCACCCAAACTGCTTCCTTTTCAGGGTTTATTTAGCGTTATGCGTTTGCATTTTTGTGCTTGTTGGTGATTTCGCTGTTTATAATGGCCCGAATGCATAGTGTTGAAGTGTTGTCTAGCATTTCCAAGCACAAGTAGGCTGGGATGTACCTTGCAAAAAAGATATGAGTATTAGATAAGCTTCATTCTGGTATGGATTATAGTGCTGCGGGCTGTGAATTCAGTGTTAAGGCATCACAATGTACATTAAATAAGGTCTCTTTAAACAAAACATACACATAAAACAAGGTGATGTATTGGCCAGCTGATAAAAATGTTGTGACCAGAGGCACACAGGAACCCAACCTTGTATTTCCCCTAGGAGCAGTGCTTCAGTGTTTGCTGTTCAGTGTTTGCATTGACTTTAGAGAACAGAACTGCTGTCAATAATGAGAACTGACTGTATTTATTTCCGAGGGCTATTGTGAGGACTAGGTAAGATTGTGCAGGTAAAGTGTTTAGCACATGTAATCCAGGGAAAACAACTAAAACAGCCCTACATTTGTATAAAGCATGCAGCCTTCATTATCTAGTTAGAGCTGCAGAGAACTGGAGAGAGGCCATGGGTAATTACCACGGTGGACTTTAGCCAGTTCATGGCAGGTGAGCTGTGTTTGGCAGACTCAGTAGATTATTGCCTGAGGCCACACATGGTCATAAAGACACAAATGGAAGAATGCCATCCGCTAAATCATCCATACGGCTTTCCTTGGTACCCTGGGTTTGCCATGTTTCTGTCCAAGAATTAACTAGCCCCCGACTGCTTACATTAAGGAGCAAAAGAACACCACTCCACCACAGTCAGTAAATGTACCTTTGGGGTTCCTTTTAAAAGTTAAATTTTAAAAATTTGGACAAATTTTATTTTATTTTGGTCTTTAAATGTTTTCTTTCTTTCTTTATTTATTTTTAGACAGAGGGGAAGGAAAGGAGAAAGAGAGGGAGAAAAACATCAGTGTGTGGTTTCCTCTTGTGCATCCCCAACTGAGGACTTGGCCTGCAACCCAGGCATGTGCCCTGACTGGGAACTGAACCGGCAACTCTTTGTTTTGCAGGCCAGCATTCAATTCACTGAGCCAGCCAGCCAGTGCAAAAATTCGGACTAATTTTGGAATCACATGTGGTTGAAAGAAACAACACAGAGAGATCCTGTGTATCCTTTTCACCCATGTTACCCAATGATAACATCTTACAAAATTATACAATAGTACAATATCACTATTGCTTTTGATGGTCAAGATTAAAAACATTTCCCTCACCCCAGGATCCCTCATGTTGCCATTTTATAGCCACTCCCCCCTCCGTCCCCATGTCCTTAACCCCTAGAAATCACAAATATGTTCTCCATTTTTAAAAATAATTTTGACCTTTTAAGAATTGTATGTAAACGGAACCATAGAGTGTGTAGCCATTTGGCATTGGCTTTTTCACTCAGCATAATTCTCTAGAACTTCAACCAACTGGTTGTACATATCAAGAGTTTCTTTCTCTTAACTGTCAAGTATTCCATTGTTATGAAATGTCTAGAACAGGCAAATCCATATAGACAAAGCAAACTAGTGATTGCCAGAGGCTGGGTGAGGGGAATGGGAAGTGCCTGCTCATGGGTATGGGATCTCTTCTTGGGGTGATCAAAATGTTCTGGAGTTAGTGGTGATGGTGGCACAACTCTGTAAAGGCACTAAAAACCATTGAATTGCACACTTTAAGTGGGTAAATTGTATGGTATGTGAATTACATCTCAATAAAGTTATTAACAAAAAAAATACCATACTTGCAATTAATAGTTTGTTTATTATCTGCTTTCCTGATTCTAAGTTCCTGAGGACTGGTACCATGTCAGTTTGGCTAAATGCTGTGCACCCCAAGATGGCCTGGCCTGCATCTACCAATGGTTGCTGGCACCAATCCAACAGCATCAGGAATCCCCAACTGGGGTGCAGTGAAGAAGGAAACTGTTCAGTGCAAAAGAGCTCAAATGTTATACAGCGTGGCTGTGAAAACAGCACAGCTGTGAGACAGCCCTAGGGCCAGGTCTCTCTCTAGCTAGACAGTTCTGCCGTGCTTACTGGAGTGCCCAGCGAGATACCTCCTGTGTTTTTAACCCAGCCAGAGAGCACCTCTTTAAGAAATAAAAAGTACATTCTCTGAGCCAGAAGGGAGATGGGTTATATAGACAGAAGTTCCCACCCCTGATCCCTGATTGGTCTGTTCTCATGCAAATGAGGACTCCAAATCCTCAGTTTAATTGGTCCAAAAGGCACTGTCGTAATTGGTCAGAATACAGCTACTCTAGTTGGTCAGAGCTGGGCAGCTCCAATTGAATGGGGAAAGCATCAGTCCTATTGGTTGATGTGGGATTCCAGGAACTCCTTGATAAGGGCTGGCTCAGCTGACAGAAATAACGCAGGTAGATTGTTCGACGCAGTGTAGGTGGTTCAGTCCAGGCCTCTCCCTGAAGTGGAGTTTTCTTGAGAAGCCCTTGTGTAGAAAAGGCTGCAGGTTCGGTTTTCTTTTTTGTTTATGTGTGTTTGCTGAATTGAGCTCAGTTGCCCACCAGGAGCCCTTCTTAATAGGTACCTTCTTTCTCAGGGTTCATACCTGTAATAGGTGGGTCAAGAAATATCTCTCAAAATTTATTACACTTAAAGTAGGTTTCTCCACACTGGCACTAGTGATATTTGATGCCACCTCATTCGCCATTCTAGGGGGCCACCCTGGACGTTGTCAGGTGTTAAACAGCATCCCTGGCCCCTACTCCCTCCATACCTCAGTCACGACAGCCACCAATGTCCCCAAATACCATCCAATGTCTCCTGGGGGCAAATCACTCCGTTTGAGAACCACTAATTTAGAGCCACAGAGTTGTAGGTGCTGAGCAGGCCCTTAGAAGGCCCCAGTTAAAGGCTGGCACCCAGGGTGGTGCTGAAGGAACAAGCAGGATTTGTCTGGATCAATAGGGTCACATTCACCCAGTTAGATGCGGTCAGCGGGGCTCTCAAACCCACCCAAGTGGGACGAAAAGTAAAGCAACTTCTAGGCCGGTGTCCAGGGCATGTTTTAGGATGAGAGGCCGAGAGGGCGGAGTGAGGCAGAGAACACCCAAAGCTGAGTGGTTAAAGGGAGGGCGGGACTCAGAGGACAGTCAGGACTTGGAGCAAGGTACGACGTTTGTGCCCTGACTCCCCACATTTGGATCGTAAAACGCTAGGAGGGTCTCTAAATAAGGGCCCAGGTCTGGGACACAGTGCTGAGCTCAAGCAAAGACTCCGGATGTGGAGCAGGATGCGAGGGTCTCTCGGCATGGGGGTGGGCCGGAGCGGGAGGAGGGATCGAGCCAGAGTCCTGCGAGGCGGAGTCATTAAAAGGAAGGCGGGCTCCGAGTATGGGGCGGGGCTTGATGAGGAGGCGGGGCTCCAGGGGGAGTCGGCCAGACGACGTCGTACTGAACCATGAGCCTCGAGCGGGGGGGCGGAGCCTGCGTCGCGTGGCCCGGCGCGAGCGAAGCGTAGTGGGGACGTCACGCGCCGGAGGCCCCGCCCCTTCTCACCTCCACCTGGATGGGCTGGCGCTCTGTGGAGGCGCGAGGATGGCGGCGGGAGGCTCTTACGGCTTCGCTCAGGGCGCTGGCCCACAGTACAGGTAACGATCTCCACTCTGCCCAGCCCCGGGGAGATCGCGCCGCGAGTACCCGCGGGTCGGCGTCTTGGTCGGAGCCCGGCGACACGCGCGGGCTGGGGCCCTGCTCCGGCTAAGATGGCAGCGGAGCCGCGGAGGCCGCGGCGCCGGGTTGTGTCTGTCCAAGGGAGAACTGGGGGCCTTCTGGCGTGGGAGAGGGCCCTGGGCCCGAGGTGGGGATGGACACAGAGCTGTGCTCGGAGGGTTCTCGGCAAGGCAGAACCTGGAGTAGTACCGTGGCGGGGACGGGGAGAGAGGAGTGGAGGGGACCTGCCCTGATTGGGAGGGAAGTTCTACCTGGGAGCACACCTGGCCAGGCAGGTGTATGTGGGGTACTGACCCCTGAAGGTCGGTGTCGGGGAGCGTGAGAGAACACAGAGACCTAGGAGGCTACCAGAGGGCGAGGCAGAGACTTGAGGAGGGGGATTGAACCTGACTGGGGGGTTGAGCAAAGACTTGGGAAAAATCCCGAGACCTAGTAGGAGGGTGGCACCTGGGGGCTTCCAGGGGACAGGGAGTAGTTAGGAGGGGTACACCTGGGGCGGGAGGGGTAGAGGGACTTGGAACCTTGCAACTCAATGTAGGTGTTTGGATATTTAAGATCTGGTAAAGGACGGGGACCCAGGTGTTTGGGAGGGGAGGGAGAGAAAGGAATCTAGAGAAGAGATGGCAGAGGGCGGCGGGCAGGCATAGGAAGCCACCAGGGGAAGGAGGGATCCATGGGTAGAGACACATGGGATATCTTACACCTCAAATATACAACTCCCAGCCCCCCCCCCCCCGGCGTACACACATACACCATTCTTGGAGTATCTCTGCTGTCTCCTTTAGCAATTAAGACCAAGTCCCAGGCACAGGTGCAGGACCAGCATCCCTGGGAGGAAGTGCCCCCTCCCCATCCTTGTCGTTTATCAGCCTTGCATTAGTTCCCAACTGGTAGCCTGGCAGAACCTCTTGAGCCAGTTTCTCACAGACCCTGAGGAGCCAACCTTGGTGTCAGCTACCCCTTAGGGAACTGAGAGATGTGTCAGCTGCACTAGAGGCCTTTACTGCATGTGGTGTTCATACCCTATTTCAGCATGTTGCAAATAGATGAGGCTAGTGGAGAGTTAGGGCTAACCCCTCAACCCAGTCGTGATACTGCTGTGTTCTTTCTTGTGGGAATGAGACCAGGGCTTTGAAACAAGGGTTGTGGACGTGAGGAGTGCTCCCAGTGTTTTCTGCCCTCAGTGTGGTCTCCAGAGTGTAGCATTTGTCTAGTAATGGATTTCCTGTCAGGGACAGAATATATAGCCTGCAGTTTTCTGGAACAGAGTGTTAGGTTTTTATTTTATCCTGCCTTGTTTCCATCATCCTCGGTGGATTTCTGATTACCAGTGCTTCAAGAAACAGGACTCAGTCTTCTAGGCTTCGAGACCATGCGCTTTTGGAAATGCTCCACCTTTCTGCCTGCCTGCTGGCTTTTCTTTCTCTTTTTTCTTCCTTTCTTTTTCTTTCTCCAGTGCATTCTTCAGTCAGAACTGGGAAATTACTTTAATGCTATGCTTTCTATTAAGATCATGTTCCAGAAGAGAAACTGAGCATTTACACTGTTAAGATAGGTACAGGCATGCCTCAGAGATATTGTGGGTTTGATTCCACACTGCTGCAATAAAGCGAGTCACATGATTTCTTTGGTTTCCCATTGCATATAAAAGTTGTTTTTACTATATTATAATCTATTGTGCAGTAACATTGTATCTAAAAACAATGTAAACTCCAGCTGGTGTGGCTCACTGGATTAAGCGCTGGTCTGAGAACGGAAAGTTGCCTGTTCCATTCCCAGTCAGGGCACGTGCCTGGGTAGCAGACCAGGTGTCCAGTTGGGGGCGTGGGAGAGGCAGCTGATCAGTGTTTCCCTCCCACATGGATGTTTCTCTCCCTCTTTTTCTCCTTCCCTTCCCCTCTCTCTAAAAAATAAATAAAATCTTTTAGAACATGTATAAAAACAATGTACATGTCTTAATTAAAAATACTTTATCGCTAAAAAAATGCTAAAATGGCACTGATAGACTTACTTGATGCAGGGTTGCCACAGACCTTCAATTTGTAAAATGGCAATATCTGGGAAGCACAGTAAAAACGAGGTATGCCTATAATTGCTGGGCTTCAGTAGATGTTTTTGTTAATTTGCCTTACTGAACCTATACATTTTAGTGCAGCTGCTGTCTGTGTTCTGATAACTTAGGCGATACAGTGTACACACATGTAACTAACTGTGTCAAACTGCCATTCACTGAATGGTCTTTAGTCTCGGCCAGGGGAGCATGTCTTGTTCTTTAAGAATAGACTTAACTAAAACTAAAATACAGGAATCAGCAAAATAAAGTCCAGTCTCACAAAACCTTGAAACGAGATTATCTGAGTGATTTTAAGTTAACTAGACATTCTCTTTTGAGGGAAGTGACTTTTGCTCGGAACCTTCAGCGGCTTTTTAAAGTACACGTTTCTCATATGATGTGCCATGGAAAAACTGGTTAGGTAATGCGGTTTTGAGTACTAACTTTATGGGAGTATTTGGACAACAGTACTTAGCTTGTTTCATGAATTGCCAAAGCGAAGACAACAGTTTGTTTCTTAGAGGACTTTGAGTAGGTTTTCTTGGCTTTTAAAGTTGATAGCTGTGGCTCTGGATAGGAATATTTCTTACATTGCAATCCACAAGTCAAAAACCTCTGCCAGAGGCAACAGATAGCTTGGGAAAGTCACTGGAGCCCACGCCAACCGTGGGGAGTGCTGACAGATGTAAGGCCGCCTGTTACACCCCTGACTGGGGGCCCCCTGCCCTATCAGGTGTGGCTGCAACCAGAGTCAGAGTAGTCCTGATGCACCCAGGCCAGCCTCCCTCACCACACACCGCTCCCCTCCCCCGGCCCCCAGGTCTTCAGACCCTTCCAGAGGCCCACCTACCAAGGCCCTTCTGTCCCCTGAGCTCAGGTGGGAGGAGCACAGGCTGCTGGGAAGAAGTGTCCTTGTTTAGGGAGCTAAGTGCACACCTCTGAATGGACTCCCACCACCTCAACTAAAAGCAGTGTTGCACTGGACATCCAGGAAGGTTGGGCCTGTGGGAATCTCTCATTGAGTTTCAAGCGGTCCTGGTAAGTAAGCATCTAAGCAGCACCTGCCTAGGTAAGACTGGCAGGAAGTGGTCCCTGAATAGCACGGCATACCAGTCTTCCTATGAGAGTGTGGTTGCAGTTGTTTCTCTAAAGACCCATCTCAGTGATGCGAAAATAACATGTTAGGGCTTGAATGAGGGAATTTCTTGGCAGGTAATTTTGAGTGGCAGCTCTGGACTGCCACTGGAAACTTGGCCTAAGTATATTTTAGTATACTAAGTATATTTTAAGGGAAATTTTTCAGATGACAGAACTATGTTATCTTAGATCCTATATTACAAATATATTTGATACATTACAAATGTCTGAAGTTTGGAATTTGAATCTTCTTTTTTTTTTTTTTTCTGTTTTAGAACCAAAAGTCAAAGTAGCTTTGGAGGATAAGTAAATTCCTAATAGAGATTTTTTCCCACCTAAACACAGTCTGTTTCTGAATTTTTAATATTTCGTCTTTTGTATCTACCAATGTGTATATTTGGAATTACAGAACAAATAAATTAGATTTAAAAGCATTTTCAAATGATTTTTAAAAATTATTTTATCACATAGTGTAATTGTTGTTCTTTTGTGTGCTTATAGAGAATGAATGTCTTTAGTGACCATACTTAGCAGTGGATGTCGCACTTCACAACGCACCATCCTCGTTACGAATGTTACTGTACCCCGTGAGTGGTCAGAGACGCTCATGGAAAATTGAGCTGAGGTCCGGATGCTGGAGCAGAGCCTTTCTCTCAGCACTGCAGGATAGCTGGTGGTCAGTGTCGCGGTTTTGAACTGCTTGGCACTCAGATTTGATCTCAGTCTGGCTTGGTTTGCACCACGTGGGGGAGTACTGGGAGGAGAAGTGACAAGCAGATAAAAAGCTCCGTGCTTAAGGGGAGGCTTTACCAAGGGTGAATCTCCGCCGGGCAGCCTGCACTGCAGACCATGTTTGCTCCTCACACCAGCTTTCTTTGGCCTGTGCAGTGTTTGTTTTGTTTTGTTTTTGCTCTGTTTGAATTAGTTGCAAGCATTTAAAAATTGGGAGACTTTACGAAACCCCAATTTCTATCATTGCTTAAAATTGGAAGATTTGGAAATCCCAGACTACATGCTAAATTCCTGCCATGTGTGAGGCACTGTAACACATCTGTTCTTGTTTAATTATCATACAATCCCAAGAAGTAAGGTGTGTCCATTTTATAGGTGAGCAAACTGAGGCTAGGGAAGAATATGCGACTCATCCAAGGCCCCCAGTGAGCAGAGCTGGGATTGGAAGTCGGGTGATCTGACTGCGGACCCCATGGCCCATCCCACTGGCCATAGCTCTCCACCCAGTTCCTAAACTTCAGTCCCTTCTGAATTCCAACTCTCATCCTCAACTTTTCTCCATCTTCTTGCCCTTAAGGGAGTGTCTTATTTACACCCACAAGATTTTAGTCTGTAGAGGTGCCTAAGTGACGACATGGAGAAGTCAACCCTTTTGAAAGAATTGATTACATTTCCTGAGAGAAGAGGGTATGCGTCATCATACAGGGCTGGGCTACATAAAATTTGCCCTTTAACCTCAGTGACTTTTTAAAATCTTCACCCGAAGATATACTTTATTGATTTTAGAAAGAGGAAGGGGGAGAAAGAGAAACATCGATCAGCTGATCAATGCGCCCTCCCATATGTGCCCTCATCAGGGACCAAACCCAAAACCTAAGTATGTGCCCTGTCTGGGAATTGAACCTGTACCTTTTTGGTGTAAGGGACAATACTCTAACCAACTGCTTTGACTTCAGGGCATTTAACTTCAATGATTTCTTTTTGATCCCCCATCCCAGCAGGGATTCTTAACGTGGGGCCTGTGAAGCCTCAGGGAATTATAGGCAAAACTGTCTGTGGGAATCAAGAGAGGGCAGGGAGTCAACAGCTTTCATCTGATAGTTCAAGGGACTGAGAAAAAAGCTATTAGAAATTGAGAAAAGGCAAAGTAACCAGTGACCTCCCACCACAGGGAGCACCAAGAAGTGGTGTAAGGTACTCTCCCTTCAGACCTGGGACAGGGAGCCTGGTCTGCTGCCAGTTTGGCTACTTCCCTCCCGCCCCATTCTAGACTCTAATCCCAGATCCCCAGCCCTAGGGACCCCGACAGTCTCCTTGTAGGTCTGAGTTCCTCAGCAGCAGCACTTCTGCCTTGGGGGCGGGACCACTGTCTGGGGTGAGCCTGTTCTGAGCACTCTGCGGTGTTGAGCAGCATTCCTGGCCCCACCCACTAAATGCCAGAAGTATCCCCCACCGTTGTGACAACCACAGATGTCCCCAGACACTGCCCAGTGTCTCCTGGGGGCAGAATCGCCCCAGGTGAGAACCCCTGCTCTAGATTATCTAGGTTTTGACAACCATCTGGGCGATGCCTGCAGAAAGTCTTTCCCATGAGCTATTTTTGGGTAGCTCAGCTCCTAAAACCAGGATATGGTGGGTTGGTTTTCAGATGTCTGTTCTTCGTTCCTTATTTTCATACCCTTCCACTGAGATCCTGCAGCTCCTCCCATCTAAAATTGGCATCTGTTTCTGTGGCCCTTGAACTGGCCCTTGTACCTTGCCTTGGCCACAGACTGCAGCAGAACAGATTCTGCCCTACACAGAAGGTTTGTGTCCCCGCCCCCCCGCCCCCCCCCCCCACCAATTCATATGTTGAGACCTAATCCCAGAGCAGTGGTATAAGAGGTGGAAACTTCTTATGTGTCTCACGTCTGCTAGAAATCCTTGCCCTCAGCTTCTCCCCTCAACAGCTATTATTTGTATTGGTTAGCATGGGTTTTCATAACAAAATACCACAGTCTGGGTGGCTTAAACAACAAATTTATTCCTCCCAGTTCTGGAGGCTGGAAGCCCAAGATCAAGGTTCAAGGTTCTGGCAGGGTTGATTTCTCTTATGGTCTCTCTCCTTGACTTGCAGATGGGTGCCTTCCCCCTATGTCCTCATGTGGTCTCCCACTGTGTGTACATCCAGAGATGCCCATTCTGTAGAATAAGGACCCCACCCCATGACCTCATTTAACTATACTCCTTTAAAGCTCCCATCTCCAAATACATTGGGAATTAAGGCTTCAGTGAATTGAGGGTGGCACAACTTAGTCCATGACCCCATCTTAGCATCCCAAAACAGCTCAGGACTTGACAAGGGTCTTCTTGGTGACTCGCTGTTGCTACTAGATAAAACCTGGATTCAGCCTAGCATCTGAGAGCTCCAAGCCCACCTTCCACCTTTTTGTTACCCCACACATCCTCTGTCCCTCAGCACACAGGACAGTTTCCCTGTCTGCCTTGTGCCTTTCTCCCGTTCCAGTGTCTGTGCCAGGCCCTTTTCTCTGTCCGGTTTGAGCCCTAACCCTTTGGAGTCTCAGTCATCCTCTCAGCCTCAGGGACAGGGGTCCTTCTGTTATCTGCTGGGCTGTCAGCGCATCCATTCTTGCACCAGGGGGCATAGCTCACTGTTTGCAGTGGAGAGATGCTCCAGGGGTGAACTGTGGTGAGGTAAAGGGCATTTCACTGTCCTACACTGAATTGAAAGCTGATGTTGACCATGACCCCGCACTCCTCACAACCTCTGCTCACAGTTCTGACTTTTCATAAAACCAGTAGGCGTCGTTACTACAGGAAGTTTCGGCAGAGCCAAGCAGTGAAGATGTGTGACTTCACTGAGGACCAGACCTTCAGAGTTCAAGGAGGCCTTCTAGCTATTTGACCAAACGGGAGAGGGCAAGATCCTGTACAGCCAGTGTGGGGATGTGGTCAGAGCCCTGGGTCAGGACCCCACCCACGCTGAGGTGCTCAAAAGTCCTGGGGAACCCCCAGAGTGGTGAGGTGAATGTGGAGGTGGGCACTTGGAGCACTTCCTGCCCATGCTGCAGACCAGCCACGGGCACTGACAGGGCATCTGTGAGGAGTGTGTCAAAGGCCTTAGGGTGGTGTTTGACAAGGAAGGGAACACCACTGTCGTGGGTGCTGACATCTGACGCATCCCATCACAGGGGCTGAGGACATGACAGAGGGAGAAGCAGAGGTGCTGGTGGCAGAGCATGAATCCAGCAGTGGTTGTATTGGCTCTGAAGAGCTCATCTGAACGGTGCTGAACGGCTGGACATGGCTCGCAGTGTGCCCACTGTGCCCCATGCCCGTGCCTCCCCCGGTGGGAGACCACATGTAGCCCTGCAGGCTTCCTGGGTCTCTTGTCACAGCACTTTCCCCAGCTCGTATCTCTTGAATGATATTTGCCATCAGCATTCACCAAATGAACTTGTCCTCTGTGCCCTAAACAAACACCAGTAGACGTCATCCTGCAAGCATGCTGAACACCCAAGATACTACACCACAGCCTCGGAATTATGCCATTATGTAATGGCTTGGATGCCTAGCCGTCTGAATCTCCTTCCATCCCTCCCTTTAATCTAAATCAGTGGTCTTCAAACTTCAGTGTGCAAAACACCACCATCAGGGTCATATACCACAAAAACATACCCTTTTATGTTTACACTTGGAAACGTGCTGTCAGAGGCAGCGCACGGTGTCCTTGTGATCCTTCCCGGTTAGGATCTGCACCAGGCATAAACCAGCCTACGATACCGTCCAGCTGGTGTCCTGGGACTGAGCTTGTCCTACAGTAGCCTTTCTCAAATAGACAGTGGGGACATCTGTGGCGGTGCTCCTGGTATCGAGTGTGTAGAGGCCACTGATGCTGCTCAACCCTGCACAGTGCCCAGGATGGCTCTTCCACAGAGAATGATCTGGCCCAACGTCAGCAGTGCCCAGGTCAAGAAATCCTGCCCCTGCCCTAGACTAAATACACTGTGTGTGTGTGCATGTGTACATGCATGTGTGTGTGTACATATACACATATATGTTCTTCCTGGTGTGGAATAGGTCATTAACCATCCACCTCCATTGGTTTCCTTAAGTGGGTCCTGGCTCCAGGTGAAGACAGTGCTCTTGACCTGAGACAGGTCACCGTGGGAGTAAGGTGGGGACAGCTCCACAGGCTGTCTCTACTTCCTCAGAGCCCTTGTCGGCTGAAGGATGAGTCACCCTTCCACCCCAAGAGATACTTGCTTCTGTGCCCTTGGTTGACACCACTTTGCAGGCCAGGGCTTCAGGAGCAGATGGGAAACCCCACTGGAGGTGGAGGCTGTCAGCATGTGAGGAAGCCGGGGCAGAAGGGAGCCTCCACAGAGCTGGCTGCTGAGTGTTGCTGGCAGTTCTGGTGGCTCATGCAGCAGCAGCAGCAGCAGCAGCAGGTCGCAGTCCAGAGAGCCCCAGGTCTGTGCTTCAACTTGGACTGCATGCCCCTGCCCTTGCAGCTCGGGCAGACCAGACTCCCTTGCTGAGCCTTCCAGTGGCTGCAGTGGCATGGCCTTTGGTGTCTTCCCAATGTCCATCCCTCCTCTTGCCAGTTTGGTATCAGTGTGATTTAGGAGAGGGTGGCCCCAGCTCCTGGGTAAATCCAGAGGGATCGAAGCCAGCCAGCTTGGCCCCATTTCTCTCCTCTGTGCCCATTTGGAGCGGGTGGTGTGGGGCCGGGGCTGGACAAGAAGCCACGAGGGGACGCTGGCACGAGAAGGCACGTGTAGAACTTCCATGGAACATACCTCACAGTATTGCTTTAACAGCAGAAAATTGGAAATAACGTGCAGTGGTTTAAAAATAAGTCCACACTTTTTTTTTTCTTTTCAATTAGTAGTAATTGTACCTCAGATAAACCTCATTGGCTACAATACTGCCCCTGTGCAAAGCTCACACAGATTCTTTGATGCTCCTCCAAAAGGGGAGGCCAAATCCTCTCTCCTTGGGTGTGGGTTGGATTTAGTGATTCACGTCTAATGGAATGTGGCAGGACTTATGCCATGCGGTGTCTGAGGCCGGGCCACAACAAGGACGTGTTCTACCAGGCGCACTTCTGCTCGGGGAGGAACATCCTGGAAGCACATCCCCCCTTCCACTTGAGGTTTCAGATGACGGAGCCCACCAACAGCTTGACTGCAGCCTCTTAGAGATCCGGAGGCAGAGCCCGACCACGGCAGTCCCGAATTCCTGACCCACAGAAACGGAAACTGTGGAGATGATAAATGGTTATTGTTGTTGGACCTTGTTATTGGGGATAATTTTGTAAAAGATTTTATTTATTTTTACAGAGAGGGAGAGAAACATCAATGTGTGGGAGAAACATTGATCGATAAACCTCTCGCACACCCCCAACCAAGGACCCGGCCTGCAACCCAGGCATGTGCCCTGCCTGGGAACCGAACTGGTGACCTTTTGGTTCACAGGCTGGTGCTCAATCCACTGAGCTAAGGCGAGGATAATATTTTCTTTAGTCCTTACCTGAGGGTATGTTCACTGATTTTTTTAGAAGGGAGAAAGATGGGGGTCGGGGAGAGGTAAAAAAGAGAGGGGGAGAGAAAAACATCTATCGGTTGCCTCCTGCATGCACCCCAACCAGGGACCAAACCCGCAACCTAGGTATGTGCGCAGACCGGGTTTTTTTCTGACTGGGAATTGAGCCCACAACATTTTGGTAAACGGTATGATGCTCCAGTCAACTGAACCACCTGGCCAGGGTTGGGGGTAATTTTTAACTCAGCAATAGATAACTAATATATAAATGTCTATTGTTAGGCATCTAGGCCAATGAATTGTGATACATTCAAGCAAATAAATAATCAGCCTTTAAGTTTGGGAGGCTCAGGGTAAAAGTACAAATGGAAGCCTATATACTATATATTTAAATATTTTAACATTATAAATCAAAATAGCAAAAAGTTACATACAGTACAATAGCCCGCCTTATTTGTGAGGGATATGTTTCAGAATTTCCTTATATGATCCTTACTGGTATTGGGCTAAAGTCTTTGATGGTGCCCTTCCCAAGAAATGGGCTTTTAAATTTGAGGACTATCTACTGGTGGCTGATACTCAGCAGAGCCTGGGGCACTGGCGCCAGAAAGACGGGTTTAAATCGAGCACTTGACACGTGTCAGTGACCCTCAGAGTTTCCTCAGCTAGACAGTGTGGACAGACGGACAGATAGGTGGGCGTGTGGCGCTGGCACCTTCCCTGCGGGTGGGGAGGCAGGAATGAGGTGATGTGGACAAAGCCTCAGAGCTGTGCTTGCCAGGAGCAGGGTGTCAGTATAGCCTGTTGCCGTTGGTAAAGTTTTCAGTTTAGTGGTAACCAGTCTTCCAAATTTTAACAATCGGGTGGATCCACTTGTCTTTTAGTTTAAAAATACCATTAAAGTTCAGCTTTCTCTGTGGAACCTTGATGTTGAAAAAATAAAGACTACCACTTATGTGAATGAGCTGAAAAGTCTTCAAATGATTCAGGCCTGACTTTGTCACTTACCGTGCCTCAGTTTCCTCTTCCATAACACGGGTGACGATGGTCCTCACCCCACAGGGCTGTTGGGAGATGACGTTTGTTCCTGAAGAGCACTTAGAACTCATCATCGAAAGGCACTGTGTGCATGCGGGCATCTGAAGCCCCTGACAGCGGTGGTTTATGTGCTCAACTCAAGTTCTGTGTGGAGCTCCATCTAACGTGGCTGGGCTTCTGTGTGTATTGTGCTTCTAGCGCTCAGCCTCCCACGGCTCTCCCCCTCCCTGCCTCTGGAGCCAGCTTCACCACCCACCCCACGCCTGGAATGGACCCTGCCGGGACCCTGCCATTTGCTCCCGAGGCCACCTGGCCACCCAGGTCTGGCAGCCCAGCAGGATATGGCAGGTACCAGCCCCACGCCATCCAGGACTTTGATTACAGTAGCAGACTCACGGAGCCCACCCTCACCCCCACCGCTGCTTCCTCCTACCAGGTATCAGCCCACCTTTCTGTGTCTAGCACCTGTCCTTCCTTGAAAACATGGATGGTGTTGAATGGAAGAGTGATGTGGGCAGCCTGTACTGGCAGACAGTCCAGGACACACCTCCACCCTCCTCATGCTCCTGTCCCTGTCCGTAGAGGTGACGGGATGGGCTTCTGCTTCCTGGGCCCTTCTATTGTGGATGATGCCACTTTCCCCACCTCGGAACTCTAGGTCACAGATCTGGCCGCTGCGTTTCCACTTGGAGTTGGGAAAGCACCCCAGGCTGCACGTGGTCCAACCCCCACCTCTCCAGCCTCTGCCACCCAGAAATTGTCCCTGGCTGGGTCAGTGTGTGACACCGCAGGCCACTGGGTAGCCAAGCCTCACACTTTAGCTCTGTCCCCTTCTTTCTCCCTCCCTCCCTCCCTCTCGCCATTGTTTCTCCAAGGCCTTCGACTTCTCCCTCCTGACCAACCCTCCCATGCTTCTGCCCCCTCCCAAAGCCTCCTGACCCTTGTGTTTCTGTCCTCACCTCCACGTAGTCCCTGATCTACCAACAGCCCACACCCTACTGTGAGCCAAAATCCAGCCATACTCCCTGCCACCCTTGGCACAGCACCCAGATCCTTGAGAGCCCTCTGCCTGTGTATGGGGTGAGTGAAGACACATCTCACCCTTTCTTTCTGCTTTCTGTGTGTCTCCTGCGGAAACCCTCCTGTAGGACAGTTATGGCTATGAACCACTGACAGCCGTCAGCAGCTCTGAGAACAAAGAGCATCACCCGCTTGCTGTGGGCCAGTCTCAGCTCCCCGCCAGGGCGGTGCTCTGCCAGCCAGGTGGGTCTCTGCAGGGTCTTCAGGTGGGAGCAAGGGCACAGAGTCACTGCACTAAAGTCACACTTAAACACTCCAGATTCACGGGAGAGCCTGGAATAATGTGGCTGTCAGGGCTATCTTTTCAATGAGGGGCCTGTGTGTGGGAAAGGTAAAAATGGAGCTAAAAGTGTTTTCCAAGGAAGCCTTCCCAGGGTGGAAGGGGGTTACATTCTGCTGAGCATTTGTATCTTAGACGTAGAAGAGAGAAGGAACACACTGAGTATACACCTGTTACACTCATGACACAGAGGAAGAAGCGTCTGGAAAGGAGTGGTGGGCTCAGGTCACAAATGACTCCCAGCTGGATCAGAGCTCAGGATCGGAGGCCTCTGGGGTTCCAGCCTTCAGCCAAGGCCTAGACCTCAGGGCAGAGGGTGGTCCGTGGCCAACAGCACTTTGGGCTCATCTGCAAGTAGGGGCCCATGTTTGCTCTGGCAGCTGGGGAGGCTGGTTGTAGTGGGAATAGGGAGGAAGTGTGGCTTCAGAGGGACTGTGCTTGCTCTCCAGAGGCCAAAGGAGCTTACTGTCAGCCCAGCAGTGGGTGCAGCCAAGCGCAGCCCCTACAACAGGCACTCACTAAGGCGGCACAGCCAGCCAGCGTCCTGTCCTCCAGTTACACCTACTCCCCAGCATCCAGTGTCCAGCAGCCCTCAGTCTTCATGTCCACCCTGCCTTCCTGCACCTCATCCTCCTCCTACAGCTTCACCTCCACCCCATACACAGGTGAGGTAGTGGTTTCCCCGAGCATGAATGTGGACAAAGCCTGTTACTCTGCAGCCAAAATAAGCATCACTCTCAAAACCAAACCATTTCCCTCTCGTTCTTCTCTCTGCTTCTTAGGACCAAGCTATCCGAGCTGTTACATGTCGGTGTACCCAGCAGCCGGTCCTTACTATCCTCCACTGCTCCCCCCACAGTTGCAGCCTCCACCCCCTCCACCTCCACCCCCAAAGCCTGAGGACTTGTCCCCCTGGGGTGCCCCAGGGAACAGCTCTAGTGTCAGTTCTGCTGGCAGCTTCACCAAGAAGGCACTGGTTCCCACCGGGCTGCCGAAACCCAAGGATGGGCCCAGGCAGTCCCCACTTCACTACTGTGACCTCTGCAAGATCAGCTGTGCTGGTGCCCAGGTCAGCACCCCACACGCAATGACTGGCAGGCTCTGACGTCTTCCTGCTCCTCCCTTGTGCCCTGTGGCCTACCAGAGGTCAGGATCATGGCCTGCCCAAAAAAAGTCTGTTATTAAATTTGCAGTGTCAAGTGTGGGTCAGAATTACCCTGTCGATTGCCCTGTTGGTGGTTGAGTGGAAGAAATGAGAGCAGCACAGCACTGACTGTTGGCCCCCGAAGGGTGGTCTTGAACTCCAAGGCAGGCGGGGCTTCTCTTGATTTGGGGTAGAGGAGGCAGTCAGCACTCCCTCCTTGCGCAGCAAGGGCCCAGGCAGACACAGCTAGTTGTGGTGTGCCTCTGCTGCAGGGCTGCTCTGTCAGGGCCCCGGGTGGGCGACAAGGGGCACTGGTGAGCACGTGTGCAGTCATCTCAGTGGAAGGAGTGTGGGCTCCAGAGCTGACCTCCTGGGCCCATAGCCCGGCCCTGCCACACTATCCCCCCAGCAGGTGTCACAGCCTCTCTGAGCGTCAGTCTCCCTGTGGGACAGGGTTTGCCTGAGCATGACCACTCTGCATAGCATGTGACACGTCCTCGATGTGGCTTGGAAAGGTCAATTCTTGTTATTCCCATTTTTGCTAATATTTAATAGCATTTTTTATTAGAATTTTTATTGAGATAGTTATAGGTTCACATGTAGTTGAACAAATAATGCAGGTTGGTCCCGTGTGCCCTTCCCCCAGCTTCTCCCAGTGGTAACAGTTTGCAAATTGCAGCCAGGATGTTGGATTGATATGGTCTGCTCTTATTCAGATATACCCTTTACTCATACTTGTTTGTACATTGGCGGAGGGGAGGGGTGCTCTGTCACTTAGGTACAGTGTTCACAAGATTCCTACCTTCCAGCAAGTACCCCTCCGACTCCTGCCCCTGCCTCCCATCTGTCCCCAGGCCAGCCTGTGCCACCTTGTATGTTTTCCAGAGGTATTTTTATCCCGTGAATGTTGACCCTCAGCCTAGGCAGAGGGCACTGTTCAGTGGGCCCACTTCTTGTGTGTTTGCTGTTGAGTACCTCATCTCCAGGTTCCAGGAGAGGAGTCTGGGATGCCACCTAAGAGCGTGGTCATTTGCCAGATGCAGTGAGATATTTCGGGCCCAGTGGCATGTAACGAGTAGGTCTGTGACCCGTGCAGCCTCTCACACGTGGAGCCCCTTGGTATCAGCATTTTTCTAACAGGAAGTGGAGCGTGCGTCCTTGCTTGGTTTCTGAGGTCAGCTTCTGAAAAGTCAAAATTTTCTTTCAGAGTAACCCTCAAAACCAAATGTGTGATCCTTTGAGGATGTTGGCTTAAGAAATTCATTGATTTTTAGAAAAAAGAGAAAAAAAGAAACTTGATGTCTTTCAAGTTGAGCCTCTTGGTCTGCTGACTGGGCTCAAATAAAGAGGTGCCTGAGAGTGGAGGGCTGGGGCTGGTGGGCCTGTGTTTTCCTCGCGGGTTCATGCACACCCGGCTGGTGAACTGCGGGGTACGGTGCGGTGCCAGTGAGCACACGCCCCCTCAGGCCACCCTCACTATCTGCCAGCAGACCTACCGCGAGCACCTGGAAGGGCAAAAGCACAAAAAGAAGGAGGCAGCAGAGAAGACGGGCATCCAGCCCAACGGCAGCCCTTGTGGGGTGCGGGCGCAGCTGCACTGTGGCCTTTGTGACGTGTCCTGCACCGGGGCAGAAGCCTATGCCGCCCACATCCGGGGGGCTAAACACCAGAAGGTAGGATGCCCACGGGGCTTAGGCAGGGCAGCCCTGGGAGCAGCCCAGCTTTCCATACTCAGGCCCCAGAGGGGTATCCAGTGTATCAGAGGGGGCACTGATGAGGGGAGCTTTCCTTCTAGGGCCCACGTGTCCTTAGAAGCAACACCTTCTCCCAGTTATAAAAGTCCTGCCTGCCTCTGGACAAAAGCATGAAGCCATGTGGGGTTGTACCCAGGCCTCTGAGAAGCTGTTCTTGGCATCAGGCATGTTTAGATGTTTATGTGAACAAGAGTTTGAACATTGATGAGATCAGACAGTATATTCCATGTGGGGTCATGCTTTTTAAAAACAAAATTAAATAAAATTAGAATAGTAAGTTTTAACGTGGAGGATATCAAGGATGGTCAGGACCAACCTTGGGTCCTGTTACTGGACCCTAGGTGTACATGTGTTCCTGCAGAATGTAGACATGTGTCTTTGGACAAATACACACGTATGTCTTAGCAGGTGGCCCCTATCCATGAATCCATGTACACATTCTGTGTCCCCATTGGGTGGGCACCAAGTTGGTGCTTGGGATGCAAAGAACATCCCTGTCTTTCAGTGCAAGGCAGTGGAGTTTGGAGGCGTGAGGTCAGTGTTAGCCAGCACAGGTACTGTTGTAATATGTAGGGCCCATGTGTGTGCATGCCTAGTGAGGGCCTAGAAGCAGGAGACAATGTAGGAAAGCCTTCCAGAGGCTGTGGTGCTTGAGAGAGCTTGGTTGCTGGGGAGTGGGCAGGGTCCCCCGGGGCTGGGACAAGACCACCGACTCTCACTTCCACAGGTTGCCAGCCCTCCCACACTCACGGAGGTGCTCTCCCTTCCTCTCGAAGAAGGTCAGTCAGGCTTGCAGTTGGTCCTGACGGGGGAATCTGGGGCTGTTCCAGGTCTTCAAGCTGTATACCAAATTGGGGAAGCCCATCCCCACCATAGAACCTGTGCCAGGGAACTCCAGCTCAGCCCAGACCACCTGCACCAGCAAGCCGGCCCCCCTCACCACTGAGAGTCCCCCTGTGACCTCAACCAAGCCTGTGGAACCCCCTGGCTCCAGCATGCACACCCCTGGCGGACTAGAGCTGCCCAAGAAGCCAGTGGTCTCAAAGGCCTCGTGCACGGGTATGTGTTGCTGCGGTTCACAGCCCTTGCGCCATGCCCTGACTCAGACCCCAGGCTCAGAGAAGTGTTTGGCCAGTTAACTTGTGTGTGAGGGTGAGTGAGCATATCTTCTCGGGAGAGACTAAGCTATGCCTGGGGCCCGGGGTGTGAAGGGGGCATGCCTTCTCCCTTATTCCTGCCAGGCAGCAGGTGCCCCGCTACCTCTGGTCCACACCGTCTGAACCATTGACAGGAGACCGTTGCCCTGAAACCTTGGTAGAACCAATGGGATGACATCACCCCTTCTTCCCATGGAGGCTGGGACAGACTGAGATGCTGTGGGTTCCCTGAAGCACCACCCTAGGCCTAGAGAGTTCCCTGGGCTGTGTCCTCCCACACGCTGGGAGCAGGCTCCCACGCACCCCGGTGCTCGTGTCAGGCACACTGGGCCTCACAGCTGTGTGGGTCCTGGGAGGTTATGGTGGGCTCCTTGCAGCCCCACGTCTGTTCTTGCTCCCCTTGAGGGTGGGACACACCAAGCCGGTACCTGACGGAAGTCACGGTTGCCACGTGATGCATGCTGACTGGGTCATAACCAGGCTGGATGTCAGGCACTCACCCTACACGTGCTGCACACGCACTGCCTGGTGTGAGTCTGTACAGTAGGTTTGATCATCGGTCCCAGTTTGCAGATGGGAGAACTGAGGGGAGGGGAGGGGAGTACCTGACCCAGGCCACTCCATAAGTGGTGGAGGCAGGATTCAAAGCCAGGTCTCTGACCATCTCTGCTCTTCCCTCCCCCGCTTTTTGTGGGAGAGGGCTTATTTTATTTTTAGCGTCAGCAGTACCATGTTTTGAATAATCACGTGATACTGAAGATAAAATCATAAAGCGGTTTTGACAACAAAGAAACAGCCCCCTCCCACCATGGATTTGTCTAATGGGGCTGGGTTGCCTGTGAGCCTTGGTCCACCTGATGGCTCCCTGTTGGTTAACGAAGGGCAGCGGAGTCTGTGCTGGGGGTTTCCTCAGGTGGGGGCCTACGGCTGGGCCCTTGTGGATGCATGCAGATTGGCACTGAGCTCTGCATGGGCCTTGTTCTCCCAGCCATGCCCCAAGCTGACTGACAGTGGTCTTGCAGGACCCTGTATCTGACTGGCTGACGTCACGCAGGGGTGAAAGGGGCTGAGGGAGAGCCGGCCACGGTTTCTAGGTGGAGCAGGTTGTAAGTGCCACAGTTCTTCCAGGGCCTCCGGAGCTGAAGGCAGCAGGCTGCAGACCCCCAGAGGGCAAACTGGCACACCTGAAGTCAAAGAGGTTGGGACAACCGCCCACCCAAGCAGACTCTGTGGAAGCTTCTGGAAGATGCTGTGACTCGCAGCCAGTGGGCCCAGGCTACGTGGAAGAGGTAACCCCTCCAGCAACCACCTCGCCCTCGGTGTGTGCCCTGCTTCATCTCCAGGTTCTGGTGGGGAAGAACCTTGCCAGGGTCAACTTTCGTGTCCTCAGTCCAGTTCTCCATTTCACATTACACACCCAGCACCAGGCAGACCTCAGTGAGTTGTCCGGAACCTGCTGGAAGGGGCAGGTGCTGGGTTTCAGATCTTAGAAGGAAGGCCTGAGCAGGCAGAGGCATTTCTTGCTGAGCATCACCCCAAGGCATGTGATTCCAAGGGCATCAGGAGCCAGCGAGCGCCCCGCAGGGCCATCACCCAGAGCCTGAGCAGAGGCCCTGTGGGCTTGTCTTAAGCAGCCTTCTAGAGCTCAAGTTCTGGAGCTTCTGCTGGCTGCTCCCTTAGTTCCCAGCCTTCCGGAGTTCATTTAAAGACTATGTGTGGCTAAAAGGAAGTGTGAGCATCAGCATTTCTTTTCATTTTTGTGTTTTCAACCAGTTCAGCATCTTGTTTTGTCCTGTGCAAAATACTCCACCAGATAGAACTCGTGTGCTATAGACCCTGTCATTTAAGAATCAAGGCAATAAGTCCTGGTTGGTGTGGCTGAGTGGATTGAGCGCTGGCCTGCGAACCAAGGGGTTGCCGGTTCAAATCCCACTCAGGGCACATGCCTGGGTTGCAGACCAGGTCCCTGGTGGGGGCCACATGGGAGGCAACCACACATTGGTGTTTCTCTCCCTCTCTTTCTCACTCCCTTCCCCTCTGAAATCTTTAAAAAAAAAAAGAATTAAGGCAGTAAGATTCATAGAAGCTGCAGCAAAAAAGAGAAGGCCACACGGTGGGCAAAAATTGAGAAGCCAAGGCAGGACTACTACAGGGCAGGGCATGGGCCAGCGGTAGCTGAGCTGGGAGGGCAGAGCACTGGATGGTGGCAGAGGTGAGCTCAGCACGGGAGGCTCCCGAAAGCCGCCCTTTGGAAGAGCTCAGCTGACAGGGAGCCAGAGAAGCTAGCACGCTGGCCTCAGAGGCTTTGCTGTCACTCCTTTGGGCCACCTAGGAAGGCCCGGTGCCCTTGCAGGGTGGAGGGAGGCACCCTTCCTCAGGGGCCAGTGCACAGCTGAGCTTTGTGTCTCAGGTATGCAACAGCGAAGGCAAAGTGATCCGGTTCTACTGCAAGCTGTGTGAGTGCAGCTTCAACGACACCAACGCCAGGGACATGCACGTCAGAGGGCGGCGGCATCGGCTGCAGTACAAGGTGCGCCTCGTAGGGCCCTGATTAGCCCACGGTTGGGGTGTGTGTGTGTGTGTGTGTGTGACCTTCCATGGTTTCTACATCTTGCTCCATGTCTCAAAACATTTTTCCCCCTCTGGGAGGCAGAGCTTTGACAGGAGCTTCACACCCCCTGAGCCTCTCAAACTGCATCCAGACCTGTCTTTGCCACTGCCTGGAGGGCCAGAGCAGAAAACATGGGCTCGAGTTTGCCAGTCGATTTCATCTGTTGTAGATGGATGTGTAGTTGTACAACTGCACCCACCTGTTGCCAGAGGAGGTGCTCAGGCACACGGTCGGGTCGTAGATGGCGCACAAAATAAGACTCACGGATATTGCCTCTTTCCCCAGACACTCAGTATTGTTTTGTTCACATCTGACACACGTTTTTCTTTTCTGGGGCCTCTGCCTGTGTCCCAGGCTGGCGTGTGCTAGCTGAGATGGACACTGTGAATTGGATACCGTGCTCTGTTCGAACTGTGTCCCTGTGGGGAGGCATGCAGGCACCAGCACAGGACTGAATCTGTGAGCTGGAGCGCGGCCGGGGCCCTGGTGCTGAGAGACGGTGACTTGAGGGGCTGCTGCTGCAGGGGGTGTTGGACTGTCCAGGCTGAGCCATCCCCAGGGACCCCGGGGCCACCAATGCCAAGAGCCTTCCAGCACCAGCGGGAGCTCCTTCTCCCACCCAAGGGGAGGTTTTACGTGGCCCAGGAGCTCCTGTGGCCCTTCAGCACCCTGGGCCCAACCCGAGGGCACCTGTGCGCATGTGTGTGTTTAAACACGCCTGACTCTGGGCCTCCAGTATGCTTGTGCAGAGCCCACACATAACTCTCCCCAGGGTGGTGAGCCGTGGCTTCCAGCTATTTCCTCTCTTTTTAGCAATTTCATCAAGATGTCATTTGCGCATCTCACAGTCAGCCCACACAAACTGTGTAGTGAATGGCTCTACTGTATTCGCAGAGTTGTGCAACCTCCACCTCTCCCTCATTTCAGAACATCCACATCACCCCAAAAAGGAGCTCAACCCCTAAAGGAGGACTTAGCAGTCAGTCCTCATTCCAGCCCCTCAAGCCCTTTTCAAAAACCACGAACCCACTTTGTTTCTGTGGACTTGCCTGTTCTGGACATTTCACATAAATGAATTACATATGACGTGGCCTTTTGGGTCTGGCTTCTCTCACTGAGCATCATGTTTACCAGGTATCATCCACGTTGTAGTGAGTATCAGAGCTTCCTTCCACTTATGGCTGAGTGATATTCCAGTGTGTGGGTGGACATATCTTGTGTATCCGTTCACCTGGGTTGTTTCTGCCAATGAAAAATCCTTAAACACGACACTTCCTTTTTTTAATTGAATTTTGGGGGTGACATGGGTTAACAAAATTATATAGGTGTACAATTCTATAATACAGCATCTGCATATAGCGTTGTGTATTCACCACCCCAAGTACCACTACACTCTGAATGAAGGTATTAAGTGCTAAAAACCAAGTTCAGCAAATGAATTAGCCATGCTATTTGAAATGCGTATTGCTGGATTTCACACAAATGGTGTTTCCCCTGAATTATTTTGATTAGGAATGAGTATTTGTCATTGAATTTTTGGGGACTGTTCCACAATGGCCAACAGTTGTTCACCAGTGCTGTCACGGCACCTTTAGCTCCTGTCGGGTATGCAGACAGGGTTCTGCTTTCACCATCACGTTTGTTACTCTGCATGTCAGTCATGTTCTGTCCCTCATGCTGGTTTCCTTTCCTGCCAGTGCTTTTGGGGACGAGGAGTGTTAAGACTCGGGAGACTGAAACTCACTGCTGTCTAACTAAATACAGCAGAGGGGGCCTATCCTTGCATCCCCGTCCACGAGACACCCCAGAGACACTCCAGCACTCTCGTTAAGTGATGATCTCCGGTCTTACTGCCCTTCCTTTCTTCTACAGAGAAAAGTCGATCCTGACCTTCCGATCCCCATCAAGCTCAGTAACAGAGTCTGGAGGCTTCTGGAGGAGAGGAAGAGGAAGCAGAAGCAGCTGACCAGGAAGCGGCTGGAGGCACTGCGGCGCTGGCATGCAGAGATGAGGCGCGGGGTCCCTTCCCCTCACCCTCCTGACTACCCTCTGCTCCCAGGGCAGCTCTGAGAACCACATGTCTGTTTGCTCACTCGCTTATTCACTGGAGTTGGGGGGGCATCAGCTCTGTCTTCTAGGCCTCGGAGCCCAGATGCTCATTAGCTGCATAGTTGGCAGGGGACACAGCACTTGCAAGGACGTGGAGAATTTTAGAGCTAGCCAGCCCAGCCCCTGTGCACGTGTCACTCTCCGGGTCTGCTTCAGTCAGCGCAAGTCCCCTAATAAACGAGGAATGGCATGGTCCTGACAACCAAGTGGCTGGCACTCTCAGGCCTGATTCACAGGGACACCCTGTTGTCCCCATGTCACCCAACCCCCGGTGTCCTCTCACCTCCTGTGGCCCTGGTGGGCCCCTGATCCTTGGCGTCTCTTGACTGCAAGGATCATTGTCATCATCCTCCTTCACCCCCTAGAGCTATTCTAAAGCACTTCATGACATGGTATCCAATTCACAGAAGATCCAAAGCAGCCTCTGAGCTGGGGGCTGAGGCCTGGGACAGACTTGAGGGCTGTGGCCACTTAAGCTGGCTTCTCCCTCCCTAGCAGTTTCTCTTAGCCTGTGTCCCCCTGGCCCTTGGAACCTTGGTCTCTGGCATATGGCAAGTGTTTTCACAGAAGCTCTTCGTGGATTCTTATGGGGTCCCACTCAGCTGCTGCGTCTCCTCAGTGGTTCCAGAGCCTCAGCCTGGCTCAGCGCAAGGACCAGGCAGCAAGAGCTATATGGCCTTTACATGCTGCTGGCTTTGATGTGACAAGCCCAGGGTCCTGCAGCTGCTGATAGCTCCTTATTTTCTTGCTTCCAACAGGCGCTACGACCTGTGCAGGAGGCAGCCGGAGGAGAAGACACAGGCCCAGGATGAGCACCTGGGACACTCCCCATCAGACCAGTGCTCTCCTCCCCTCGGGAGCAGGCCAGGGGCACCTGCTGCCACACCGCTGGTAGGTGGTGGTCTTGTGCCAAAATGCCTCCCATGTCACTGGCACCATGGGGTGGGTGATTTTCTCACATCATATGTGAAAGACCTGAATCTTCCAGGAATGAGGAGTAAGACTTTGTATCAAGAACCCCAACGGATGCCCACCTCTCATTGCTGGTCACCAATGGGAGCTCCAGGCCCTGGCCCTTCCACCCACCACAGCCGTCCCTTTAGTTTCCTGAGACCCCAGTTGTCACATCTCTTAGGGGTCCTCAGGGGTCTGTCTGTCTGTCTGCACAGACCATGGTTGGTTGGGAACCTTCGACCTGCACCTTGCTGGGGAGCAGGCCTACTGAGTTGGCAGAAAAGCCCCTGGCTTGGAGATGTAAGAGTGTCACAGGGGAGCCCCCCGGCCCCCCTCAGCCCTGAGCTTGCTGTAGCCCTCAGGGGAGGCCCTGGGGTCCTCACTGGGTCACCACCCGTGGGTACATGTCATTCTTCAGTGTGGCTCCACTCATGTCCTCCTGCCACCTGTGCTGCAGCTCCACAGAGCTGACAGTCCTGTCCCTGCCCACTGGGTCTCCAGGACCTCTTAGCCCACTGTAATGTGTGCACCTTTCCTTGCAGCCCACACAGCGGCCAGAATCCAGTGACGACCGCCACGTCTTGTGTAAGCACGCCACCATCTACCCCACAGAGGAGGAGCTCCTGGCTGTCCAGAAGGCTGTGTTCCACTCAGAGTGCGCCCTCAAGCTGGTGTCCGACACACTGGCGGAGGACAAGTCCAGAAGCCCAGAGCAGGAGGCTGGTGAGCACAGGTAATGGAGTTAGTTCACCCTCATTTCCCCAGGCCCAGAGGGTGACTTGGAGGAGGCAGGTGTTCTCACAGGATGTGGCTGCCAGGGGGGCAGGGGGACAGCTCCTTCTCTCATTGACTTTGAGCCCTGCAGTAGCAGGGACTTTCCAGCCCGTGGGCGGCATGCTCACTGAGTCTCTAGTGTCGGGCCTGGAGCCCCGAGGTTCAAAGGGAGTTTTAGTCCCAGCTGGTGAGAGCTGCTGTTCCAGTACCAGAATTTACTTTTTCATGAAAGGTGCATCAAGAACCGTAGTTCATGAAACATGAACCACCTCTGTTTGTTCATCTGCAAAAGGGAGACAGTGTGATTCTGCCCTGATCCCTTCACCTCACAGAGCGGAGGCTGCCACTCAGTGCCGCCGGAGTCATCGCTCCAGGCCTGTGCTCACGGGGAGACAGAAAAGTCCCTGGGCCCTGTGAGGAGTCACTACCCAGCTGAAATAATTCAAGATGTAGTTAGCTCTTCCAAGTTCTTTCTCTCTAGGTGGCTTCTTTTTTATTTCCTTCTTTTATTTTTATTGTTTTTTATTGTGGTGAAATACTCGTAGCATGAAGTTTAGCATCTTAACCATTTTCCATTTTGATGTGTACAATATAGTGGCACTAAGTACATTCGCAAGGTTGTGCAATGATCACCCACCACTTATCTATTTCCAGAACTTTTGCATCATCTAAAACAGAAATTTGTCCTTGCAAATTCCCCACCCCCTACCCCAGCCTCAAGCTCCGTCATTGCACTTCCTCTCTCTACGGCTCGGCCCATTCTGGCCATTTCGTGTAAGTGGAATTATGCAGTATTTGTCCTTTTGTGTCTGGCCAATTCCACCTTAGTTTCTTTTCACTATAGTGTTTGGTCCCAGGAAAAGAACATATACTACTGTGAGTTGCAAAGTGTCATGATAAAATGAACTAGCCCCTCAGTTTAAGCACACAAACTTCCCCCATCAGTAGATGCAATAGGTTACCAAAACTAGGGTGCCAAGAAGACATTTTTCTTAGCTGTCCCCTGGCGCCCTCATGAATCCAAACTACAGGACTGCAAAGTCTGATGGAAGAAGTCTTTGAAAGATGGAGCCATCCCAGCTCTGAGGTTTACCTGGGGCTTTGTGCTTGCTTACAAGTGGAAAAGATGGTCTGGCCATAAGGTGTGACATTGCCTGCAGCCGTACTCGCTTTGGCCTCTGCACCTCGTGCAGAGGGGCCGATTGCCTGGAAGCTACCCAGAGGCGTCTCATACTGCGGACAGAAAGGGTGCCAGTCATTGAAATCTGCGTTCAGGTTTTCTGAACAAAAACCTCCCCCTCACTTAATGCTTTGAAGTTCCCTATAGTGTTTTTCTTTTTATTTGTGTTTTAACTTTTTATTTTGAAATAATTATGGACTCATAAAAAGAGCACAGAGAAGGTCGTCAGACCACCCCCCCACTTCCCTCAGTGTGGGTGTGGAAGCAGCCTTCGCATGTGTCAGGGCAGGAAATCGACACGCCTTTACATTATTTTTCAAAAACATGGAAGTGTGGTTTTTTAATGGCAACATAATAAACCATCCTGTGGGTGTTCCATTATTTATTTAACCATTGGAAAGAACATTTTAGTGTTTGGGTTTTAAAACTTTTATTATGGAAACCCTCTAACATACACAGATGTGGGCGGAACAGTAAACTTATAACGAACACCATGTGAGCATTACTACACCATGGCCAGCTCCCACAACTGCACTTGACCTCTTGGCCCTTCCTCCCTGCCCCTGCATGGAGATTAAAAGGAGATCCTATCAGATCTCATAGTGTTTCTTTTCTGAGTGTTTAGTGGGTACCTATCTCTAGATATTAAGGACGTTTTATTTAACAAAACCATAATGCCATTATCATACTTTAAAAAAAATTAACAGCCCTGGCTGGGGTGGCTCAGTGGATTGAGCACCGGCCTGTGAACCGAAAGGTTTCCAGCTCGGTTCCCAGTCAGGGCACATGCCTGGGTTGCAGGCCAGGTCCCTGGTTAGGGATGTGGGAGAGGCAACCAATTGATATTTCTCTCACACATGGGTTTCTCTCCCTCTCTTGCTCCCTCCCTTCCCCTCTCTCTAAAAAAATTAACAGTAATTCTTTAACATCATCAAATATCCAGTCAGTGTTGATATTTCTGGTTGTCCCGTAGATACCGTAACGTGCTTTTTTGGTGTTCTGGGGTTGGTTTTTCTGTTTTATAGGTTGTGTGAATTGGGATCCAAATTCATTGACAAACTTCTAAGTCTGTATATCTGCAGGTTCCCCCATCCTCTGTTTTCTGCTTTCTCTGCCTTTATGAGTCTCACTTGCAGACTCTGGTCCTTGCCCCCTAATCCAGACGTCCCTGCTGTGGATTTTGCCAGTGGCCTCCAGAGTCAGGTCCCCCGGGCCTTGGGCTTTAGAGCTCTGTGATCCCCAAATGGATAAGAATATATAAACGTGGTTTTTATAAAAAGGTTATCTCCTGCCCTGGCCAGCCAGCTCAGTTAGTTGGAGCATTGTCCTGTGCTCCAGGGTTGTGAGTTCAATCCCTGGTGAGGATGCATACAGGAATCAATCAATGAATACATAAATAAGGAGAACAACAAACTGATGTTTCTCTCTCTCTCTAAAGTCAATAAATAAAATATGTTTAAAAAAAGGTTATCGCCCATCCTAAGAAATGTCACAAATATTCTGTCCCTCTCTTCCTCCTTTCCCTTCAGGGAAAAAAAAAAGTGATGGCTTCCCCTATTAAAAAAAAATAATAACAATATATTGGTCCTCTTAGTTGTCAATGACATTCATCGTTACAAATACAACTTGAGATGTACAAACATCTCTGGGATATGCCAGTGATAACGTATTATTATATAATAAAATGTTTTGATGTAAAAAAAAGAAATGTCCCAAAGACAACAAAGTGGTGATCAGAGAGTAGCAGGAGAGGGTGGCAGCTTCTGGAGCAGAGGCTGGCACATTTGTGCAGAAACCCCTCATGTGAGGGCGCCCCACGCGTCGGTCCTGGGAGCTGCGGCAGCGGACTGAGTCTCATGGGGCTGGAGGGAAGTAGGAAGGGGCTTGGGGCCAAAGCAGCAGTTTTCAAGCGGTGTGCTGCAAGAATTTTTAAAACGTGCAGTACCTGACTGTTTAGTCAGGGGCATTGACTTTTCCCTCAGACTGTCAAATAAAAAAGGACAACAGCCAACACAGCAATAGCCACCCGGCGGGAATGCCTTATCTTGAACCATAAATACTCATGTATGGCTCATACAATAGAATTGCATCCAATTGGTCACATCACATAATAAGGTTGTATCTCATGGGTAATTTTTGGTACCAGAAATCCTTATATACAAGTATAGGCACCTGATTTTTTTTTTAAAGTCACTTTGGAGCAAAAAGGGTAGGTAATAATAATTATTGTTATTATTATAAATCAAAATTATGCCTATTTTTTTGTCAGATTGGCAAAAAAATGTTTTTGGTGTGTCACAGAATTTAAATAATTGGTTCATGTGTGCCATGAGATGAAAAAGGTTGAAAATCACTGGGCTAGAGCATAAGGCCTAAGAGGCAGTAGTGGAAGAGGATGTTGGCAAGGAGGCCCAGTGGGTTGGGCTGAGCACCTCAGGCCAGGGAGTGAACTTGGGTGTCCCCGTCCTGCAGAGGGCCAGGGTCTGGAGGGCAGACGTGGGGCAGATGCACTGCAGAAAGCTGGCCCTGACCTGCAGAGGCAAAACTGCAGCAGGGGTCACCCTTAGGGTGCTGTGACCTGAGCCCTCCGACGGGCCTGCTTGTAGAACGTCCAGGTTGGGGGGAAACAACCCCAGGGACAGCCTAGAAGGTGCCCAAACCCATGGGCTGACCAGGGTGGCACCAGCTGGCTACGGACCAGGGAGCGGGGGGGATGCCATCATTGGCCTTTTTCAGAATGCAGTTTAGCAGGAAGTAGTAATAACCACCAGCCCTTACTGACCACATAAAATATACCTGTTGTGGTTCCCAGTGCTTTTCTCAAATATATCTTCTCATGTCTCCTTTTGTCAAGTGCGTTCTGAGAAACGGGGCTCAGAAAGGGCCCTTTCACAGATGTGGAAGCTGAGGCACCGAGGGCCCAGCGAGCTGCTGACATCCCAGACCCAAGGGCAGAGCCACAGGCTCCCCACCCCTCTTACATGCATCGCGCGTTTGTCTCCACAGCGGTGCCAGCCCCTCTGCTCGGGTCCTGAAAGGCGTGGTGCGGGTCGGCCTCCTAGGGAAAGGCCTCCTCCTTCAGGGAGACAGAAACGTGCAGCTGATCCTGCTCTGCTCCCAGAAGCCCACCCGTGCCCTGCTGCAGAGGGTCACCGAGCAGCTGCCCCAGCGACTCCTGGTAAGGGAGGCTATCTCCCGGAGGTGGGGAGGGGTGGGACTGCCCGCCCTCCCTCCAGGGCCCCGCCTTCTCCCTGACTGGGATGACTTTGCTTCCACAGGATTTTAAGAAACAAGAGAGGTTGTCATTATTGGATACAAACCAGTTGTTTGTTTGTTTTGTAAACAGTTGTAAGGAGAAAGAAGTGGTAACTTCAGGGTTCCTTCACGAAGTGAGTTCAGGGCAATACTGGGAAAATGTGAATGTCCCACCACGAGTATGCGAACCAGCCATTTAAAAGGCTGCATGGTGACGGCCTGGTAGAGTCCGTGCAGAGAGGAGGGAGCCTCGTAAGTCATGAGGCAAGAGGGATTGTGGGAGATCGGCTGGGTTTTCTCGGAGAGCAGTTCCTCTGTTGTTGTCATGGCACTTTTCTCCTGACAGCTGGGGAACAGTGAGACCATGTCACGGTTTAAGTTGATCATCTTGGTTAAAGCAGTCAGTCCCCAGGGTGGTTTCTTCCTGATGTGTTTGTCCCTGTCCTGGTGAAAATTCTGCATCGTTCCCCCTACTGGCTTAGTGAGCTTGGGGTGCAGACCTGGGCCACCCTCGGGCTCCCGCCCCTGTCTGGAGCAGACAGACAAACACATAGCAAGCTAATGCTAGTTTATCTCCTGTGAGGAGATTAAAGCCTGATGCCAGATGCAAGCACCAGGGAGGAGTGAGTCGTGTCCAACAGGACAGAGGGAGGTGTGTGTCCCTCTGAGGACGTTCAGGTTGTTTCCAGTGCTCTGCATCACCACTGAGGCTGCACAGAATAAATAACCTTGCGCACATGCCCCTCCACACGTGTTGGGAGCTCATCCTAGGGCAGAGTCACCAGGTCGGAGGCACGAGCCTGGGGCTCCTGGTGAGTGTTGCCAGGTCAGCTTCCACCAGCAGTGTCTAAGATGCACGGATTTGCCAGCCCAACTGTGCCTCAGGCTTCGAGTTTCGTCCTTCTCACAGGTGATGATGGCACCTCATTATAGTTTTAATTTGCTTCTCTCTTACTGTGGGGGTCATCTGTGTCATTGTGAAAAGGGGACACTTCCGTTTCCTTTTCTTCCAACTATCTGTTCTGTTAATGGCTGGTTTTTATTATTATTAATCTTTGTTAAGGGCATTCTTTACATATGAAGGCACCTTATATGCTAGGTTTGTCACCTATATGTATTTATTTTTTACATTTTTAAAAAGATTTTATCTATTAATTTTTAAAGAGAGGGGAAGGGAAGGGGAAAGAGAAGGAGAGAAACATCGATGTGTGGTTGCCTCTCACACGCCCCCTACTGGGGACCTGGCCCACAACCCAGGCATGTGCCCTGACTGGGAACCAAACTGGCGACCCTTTGGTGCGCAACCTGTGCTCAATCCACTGAGCGACACCAGCCAGGACTAAATTTTTATTTATTGATTTTAGAAAAGAAGGGAGAGAAAGAGAGCGAAACATTAATTTGTTGTTCCACTTCTCTATGCATTCCTTGGTTGATTCTTGCATGTGCCCCAACTGGGAATTGAACCCACAACCTTGGTATATTGGGATGATGTTCTGACCAAATGAGCTTCTCAGCCAGGGCTGAATATAGGCATTTCTGTATGTGTGTACTCCTGGAAGGCGGGGCTCTGTCTCAGTTCCACAGAGGCTCCAGACGCCTGGCACAGGGCCTGCGGACTTGACACGTCCTTGCTGTTTGCACCCGTCTCTCGGCTGGAGTGACGTGGCCTTGTGTTGTGTTTGCACCTCACAGATGGTGACAGAGGACAAGTACGAGGTCTCCTCTGACCCGGAAGCCAACATCATCATCTCATCTTGTGCGGAGCCCAGAATACGGGTCACTGTGTCTGTCACCTCGACCCTAATGCGGGAGGACCCCTCCACAGACAGAGGTGCAGCAGGGCCCTTCGGTCCAGCCCCCCTCCACAGATACTCAGGTGGCTTAGGGAAGCATCTGACTCTGCTCTGGGCAGGGGAAGAGGGTTGGGGGTGCGGCCTTCTGGCGCTGCTGTTAGCCCTGGATGCCGCTGGTCAGATAAGAGCTGAGCCTGTGGCAGCGGAGGAAGAAAACTGGTGATAGTGTCAGATGAGCTCAGAACTGGGCTGTGCGTGTGCTCCTGCCCCCCCCCCCATACAGCACCACGCCCCTCCCTTGCCTCCAGGCCCGTGCAGACACCTGTGCTCTGCCCCTGGGAAACTGGCTGTGCCAGTTGCCCAGGAGCTCACATTGTCCATCTGACCAGGGCAGAGGCCATGGCAGAGGTCACAGCAGACCCTGCTGGTTCCAACACTGCTCGTGTGGGATGCGGGGGTCAGGGGCATAAGGTATATTGGTGTTGCCTGAGAGAGTGGGAAGGGGTGCTGGGCCAGGCCAGAGGGCAGCAAGGGCCTCGAGTCACCACCACACAGTGAAGGCTAGCCCACAGGGAGGCACCCTGTGGCTCACTGGGCCATGCGACCTTCTGGAACAGCCCCTAGGACCAGTTTTTAAATTCTATTAATTCATTTTTTCTGAAAAAATAAGGGTCTTATTTATTTTTAGCGAGAGGGGAAGGGGGTAGAAAGAGAGGGAGAGAAACATCCATGTGAGGGAGAAACATTGGTTGTTTCTTCTGTGTGCCCCAACCAGGGACCAAACCCACAACCCAGGTATATACCGTGACTGGGAATCGAACCAGCAGCCTTTCCTCTGCAGACCAATAACCAACCAACTAAGCCACATGGGTCAGGACTCCATTCATCCTTGAACTCCCTTCATGATTGTTGTCTGAGAGCCACCAACTACCAACATTTTTCTTTAAATCAATTAATTTCAACACATGTTTTTAAAGAGGAGAGCCTTTGACTATTAATGGAAAGCCATTATCAGTTGTTATAAATAGTTAGCTAAAAAAATCAATATAGGAGGCGAAGAACAACACCATTAAATTCTAGCTGAAGGCCCGGCTAGGGTTTGCTCAAACACACAAACAGGGGAGGTTGGGAGTGTTAGACGGTGTTAAACATCTGCGGCCACTAGATGGAAGCCAACTGGAAAGATTAAGAGACACAGAAACCCCTCTGTGACTGTGACCACCAGGAGCCCGTCAGCCTCACTGAGGGGTGCACGCCCCCGGCTGGCGGTTGCTGGGAGAGTGGCTTCTAACACCTCTTCAAAGACACACCCCCGCCACCATGGGAAGCACGGATCCCTAGGGATATTTCTGGGTGAAAGTGAAACCTGAGACCCACCGTGTGACCTAAGTAAGCCAGGTGTGCTAGAATGAGATGAGAATATTCCTGAAACAATAATAGTTAGAAAAAACGGATCTGCGTTTTTCTCAGACGCGGAGGCCTTTGTCATCAGCGATGGGATGTGTTCAAATCTGACCCACTTTGTCCCTTTTAATTATACATTTGGAAGTTTCTGGAAATCTGGCTTAGTTCCTAGTTTTCCACCTGCTCTGTAGTTTGCTAACCGAGGGAGTTGGTGCGGAAGGTGCTCAGTAATAAGCATTAAAAACGTTTCCTTGTGGGCACTAACTTCAGAGGAGGTGGGGTTTTCACAGGAATGGTTTCTCTGGCCCTTGTAGTCCCCCAGAGGAAAGGGGATCTGGGAGGAAGCGTGTATCTTCTGATAAATAAAATGGGTCCTTGAGAACTGAGAGGCATAGCCCATGTGGGCAGGGAGGAGGTGAAGTGGGACAGGGCATTGTCCACATGCCCTTTTCTTCTAGAAGGAATGGAAGTACCCAATCCAGGAGATGTCTTGAACCCAGAAAAGTGTCTCCAGTCACTGGCCGCCCTCCGCCACGCCAAGTGGTTCCAGGTTAGGGGGAGCGGGATCGGGAGGAGGGGTCACACATGTCTGTCCTGTCGGGTGCGCCCTTAGCCACCTCCTTGGCTAGTTGTGTGGCTCATGCCCACTTGGGAGTGGAACCTGCCCCCAGTCACCTCCCTCAAGCCATGTTCCCTCACCTCTACTGAGGACAGGACTCCTGGCCCAGCTCACCTCCCCCAAGGTCTGCCCTTGTTCCCTTGGCCTCACACACACCCATGTGCATGTGACTTCCAGAGCTAACTGCGTGCTTCTTCCCCCAAAGGCACGAGCCAGCGGCCTACAGCCCTGTGTCATTGTCATCAGGGTTTTTCGAGACCTCTGCCAGCGTGTGGCCCCCTGGGGAGCTCTGCCAGCCTGGGTAAGGCAGCACCCAGTAGCCATCCCTGCTCTGGGAGGCCCACGAGGGCCTCATTTCCTCCTGGGCAGGCGTTCCCCACCCCCTGCCCCCAGCACTTGGCATTCTCAGGAAGGGCTGGCATCAGCCTGTGTACGCAGGAGCAGGAGATCATGGTAGGGGTGTCTTGGGGGTCTCTGGGCACTAGGAAGAGGCCTGCTCTGGATACAGCCTCACTTGACTATATATTCTTAAACCTTCGACCTTGCAGACAGAACTGGGTAGCATGCCAGCGCAAGGGTCCCAGGGAGATGTGCAGTGTCAGCACAGAGGGCCTGGCCAGGTCAGGGGCCCAGTGCTCACCCTGGCTCCACTCTGGCCTCTGGACCACCCCTGCCTCCTATGGAGGGGAGACGCCCTGTGGCTCTGATACCCCATCCCCCCACCACCTGTAGGCCCCAGAGCCCCCAGAGTTGGGGGAAGAACAGAGTACAAGGGTCCCCATGCCCCCCGAATATCCAGACTTCTGAGTTGTGAGACCCCCCAGCCTCCACCGTCTCTGGGGTCCCCCATCCTGTCTGTGGGATTACGCTTTGTCCCTCAGTAGATCAGCCTCTGAGAGTTCCACTCTCATTTCAGACACCCACCCGCCGACCCCCTGGCCAGTGCAGGAGGGAACGACCTGTAGGGGTTTTAGTTGTTCACATTGTTCTCGGAAAGAAGCCGGAGCCCCCTGAACTCTGAGAGCCATTTGCATTCTGTGCGCAGCCTGATGCTGCCTGCCGTCTCCTCCTGCTCCCAAGCTGGGCCCCTGGGTCACCCTTGGCCTTACTCATGAGGGCCATCTCCAAAACCAAGGGTTCAGGTGCCCACTAGGGCCTCTGCCTCCTGCCCAGTGTCCAGGGGCCATTGTTCTTAGCACCCCCGCACCATGGATGGCATAGGGGCCAGCCTCATGCTGGGTTACTAGCACACGTCCCCTGCCCTTGCAACCCCCTGGATTGGGTGGCCTCCTTGAAGGAGGAGACACATCTGAGCAAGCCACAGAGTCATTGTGACCCAGGCTAAATGCACTATGGGTCACAGAGAACAAGTTTCTTTTAACCCTTGAAGTGCTAGTTTTTAGTGTTACTATTGATGGGATTTTGCCAATGGGGAAACTGAGGGTTAGAGATTGAAGAAACCTGCTGGTGGCCATACCAGGAGGCGGTAAAGCCTCATTGACCGCCACCCTCTGTAGAAGTCAAGGGTGGGTGGGAGTTAGAGAAAGAGCTGGGAGGGGTCACCTATCCTGGGGTCCCCTGGAGACCTCTAGCCAAGCCCACCAGAGCCCCTCCAGCAGGAGGTGAGCTGGCCAAGGCACTCTCCCCCACGGCACAGCGTCTCCCTTTCCGCCCCTGCCCGGCCCAGGCCATGGAGCTGCTGGTGGAGAAGGCTGTGAGCAGCGCCAAGGGGCCCCTGAGCCCGGGGGACGCCGTGCGGCGGGTCCTGGAGTGTGTGGCCTCTGGGATGCTCCTGACAGGTCAGTCCACGTCAGCGGGGAGCCCAGAGCACTGGGGCGTGTAGCAGACTGAGGCACAGAGGGAGCCTCTTACCAGCACTCGAGAACAGCGTCCAGCCCGGATGGGAGGAGGGTCCCAGACGTGTACACACATCCCCCACCCCCCAGAGGGATGGGAACTGCCCAGTGGCAAGTGGAACTCACTCACCTGCAGAGGAGGGCAAAGGTCCAGTGCAGATGGGGCGGGGGGGGCGCCCCCTGTCTGTAGGCCTGGCACTCATTCTGTGAGGGCCGCCCCCTTGTCTGGGGGCCTGGCTGTCCCTGGGTGATGGCCTTGGTGGGAGAATTTCACAAGGAAACCAGCAGACACTCAGAAAATGGGCTGTGTGTGGAGAGGTTTGCCACGGTGTGGCTCCAGTAGCAGAAGGGAAGAGAAATCACGCGCGCTCAGGAGGTGGCAGGGACAGAGACGGCGTTTTCCGGCTGGTTTAGTGACATGGGATGGGATCCTGTCGAGTGAAAGGCGAGCACACACACTGGGTGTGATATAGCTACGTGCTCGGGCACACACACACGGCAGCAGGAAGGGGCTCTGCGGAGTGCGCTTGTGGGGGCAGAGGGGGGGTGGCCCAGGGGAGACCCCCCAGGGGAGAGCCTGCGCCAGTGAGGATGTGCCCCCCAGGCGTGGCCGTGGGTACCGAGGGGCATAGTCGCAGACCCCACGCTCGAATCCTCTCAGGCCCCTGGTGGTGGCAGCCTTTCATGAGGGTGCTCTGTCTTCTTTGCCACCCCTACCTCGCCTCACAAAGATGGGCCTGGGCTCCAGGATCCCTGTGAGAGAGACCAGACGGATGTGCTCGGGCCCATGACCCCCCAGGAGCGGGAAGACATCACAGCCAGAGCCCAGGTAGGGTGGCCAGCCCCTGTGGCTCCCGGGCTCCGGGCCAGCTCAACCACGCGGTGGGCATCGCCCTGGTCCCAGCCCATTTTCAGCGATGCAGCATCCCAGAAAATGTTCTGGGGTTCCCTTTCCCTGTCCCTGCAGAGATAGGTGGCCTGTGGGAGGGTGGCCCCTGAGTGACAGGACCATTTCTGGGGGCACACCCAGCCTGGCTCAGAGCTGAAGCCACCACAGTGATAAGGCACAGACCTGGGGCCTCACTGGCTAGGACTGTCCTTGGTGTGCTGCCCCCACTTCCCCCGCCACCCCGTGTTCTGTAAATATACCCAGCTTGTGGCTGGCCAGCCTCAAGCAAAGAAGCAGCCCCGTCTGTGGTTTCCCTTTGGTTTGTAAGTTTATAAGAAATTGTTCCAGTGGTACAGAAATCACATTGGGCCCGACATTTAGAAATTATCTTAATGGAAAGAATCAAATTGCCTCTGATCAGAGCCACACTGGGCGATGCAGGATTTGGGGTCCCTGCAGTGAGGCAGGAAGCTCTGGAGTTCCAGGGGCATCCTGGCGAAGTCCTGCCGCAGCGGCCTGAGCGGCTCCCTGCGCAGCCCTTCAGGCCCGATGGTAACTGAGCTCGGCGGTGGCCAGAGGGGTGCTGTCCAGGACAGGAGGGCAGCGCGCCACCACGCCGGGGGCTGGGTGAGCCGAGCACAAGCAGGAGGGTCCTGACCGGTTGTCTGCCCCCAGCATGCCCTGCGCATGTTGGCGTTTAGGCAGATCCACAAGATCCTGGGCATGGACCCCCTGCCACCGCCCAGAAGCAGGCCAGGGCTGCGCTTCAGGAAGAGGGCGCAGGAGGCGGACGAGGCCGAGGAGGGCCCAAGGAAGCAGGCCAGCCCGGCGGAGAGGGGCCTTGTGAGTGGCCTCGCTCCCCCCCCAACGGGACCTGAGCTGCAACTGAGTGGACACTGTATCCCCGATGTTGGACGCTTGTGCTCTCCTTCCCAGTGAAGTCTCACGGGTTCCTCTGAAAACGCCTGTGCTCTGACCAGCAGTGAGATGGCAGCACGCAGGGACGAAAACCTCCAGGTGGGGCAGCCACTGCAGGTGTCCCTAGTGCTGCGTGGAAGGTGTCGAAGCTCTAGCACAGTGACTTTGAGCCCTGGCTTTTTTGCTAACTTTAAACTCACCTGGGGCTACTACAGGTATGGGTTTATAAATTGCTTCCTGTGGCTGCCCCAGACGTACGTGGACTTAACATCACCAGGGCATACCCATCCGGGACCCGCCATCCTGAAGGCTAGCCCCGGGAGGCAGGCTAGGGAGAGTTGAGGGTGGGGGCCAATCCCTAGGGTGCACCTGGGCCCAGCCTGCTGCAAACACACCACCCCTCCCACTCACCAGCCCAGAAGTGGCCCCTCATCCCCGGGTCTGCTGGGCCTCAGCTGGGCTCCTCTCCCATCCCCGCTGTGGGGAGGGCGGCAGGGCTGAGTGCACCTCGGTCCCCCTCCCTGGAGCAGGTGCGACCTGAATCTGCCCTGACTTCAAGACTCCCACCCCACCCCAACCACTGAGTGCCTTCTGCTTACAGGGGAGTTGCTCTGTAATGTCTTATCTGGGGCTGGGCTTTGCCCAGTGTCTTCTGTCCTCCCTGCGTAGGCCCAGCCTTTGTGGGTCCAGGACTCGCTTCTTAGGAGCAGGTCTGGGGGCTGTACCTAGTGCAAGGCACAGGGTTGGGCACCTCCTGGTGGACACGGCCCTGGCACTGGCGGGCATGGGCATGCCCCCTGCGCAGCCCCTGTCCTGCTGTGTCCAAACCTCCCTTTTTGGTGACCAGTTTTCTTGGCTAGCATTAAAGGAGAAAAGCTCACCTTTTGCCAGCTCGATCTACAATCACTCGATTCCTTTGATTTTGCGTCTGTGTTTAAGGGATGGCCTCTGTGCAGCTTCACATCTGGTGTCTGTGTAGAGCTACCTGGAAACTTGGAGGGCAGGGGAATAAATGCTTTTTTTCATGTGGACCATTCAGTCCTTTGCTCAGGGCACAGGAGACCCTGCTGGGCTCTCAGGGCTCTGGGTGGGAGCGTTCCAGCTACCACATTTCTCCCACAGACGAAGCATGGGGACGGGGTCCAGGCATCTTTCACCTCACAGGGGGAGCTTCACCCCCCACACCCCTCTCTCCCTTTGATCCTGGCAGGCAACTCTGCCATTTACCAGCTGCCCAGGCTGGCCACTACCACCACCTGGGTTCCTTTGTGCTCAGGAACTCCTGCTTCTATTCTCCATCCACACTGTCACTCGGCTGCTTCAACCCTCCCACGCCAAGAGCTCTGGGTAAAACTCGGAATTGCACTCAGGATAAAATCCTGAATCCCAAAGAAGCCCCACAAGAACCAATCTGCCACTTTCGGCCTCAATAACTCCACTTCAGACTCACCAGTTGCTGCTGGTCATCAGGCCAGCCAATCTCGTTCCTGCCCCCAGGGCCTTTGCACATGCTGTCCCACTGCACAGTAAGCTCTTCCCCTGACCTGTGTGGCCATCACTCTTCCCTTCCTTCAGGTCTCAGCTCACATGCTGCCTCCTCAGAGAGGCCTCCTTGACCACTTCAGCCTGCCACATAACTGACTGAAATCACTCGTTATCTACTCTGGCCGGTAGTTCTGTTGGTCAGAGCATCGTTCCGACACACCAAAGCCGCAGCTGCCGTCCCCGGTCAGGGCACATATAGGAGTTATCCAGTGAATGCATCAATAAGTGGAACAGCAGATGGATGTTTCTCTCCCTTTTTGTCTCTCTAAAATCAATAAACATTTTTAAAATATTTAAAAAATGTAAAAAAATCACTTGTTATCTGCCCCCCAGGATGTGAATTCTCTATGGACAGGAAATATATCTACCTCACTCACCACGCTATCCCCAAGTTTAGAACACACCAAGTACACAGTAGTAGCTCAGTAAATATGTTAAAGGCTTGAAGCCACGCTCGAGATGCCCAAACACAGGTCTCCTCATAACAGCAATTTGCCTCCTGGCAGTTAGGAAGACACCATTGGTTTGTCTCATCCCAAGAAATTACTGTGGCAGCCGGGGTGAGAGGCTTCAGTCAGGCAGTGGCAGTACGATGAAGGAACGGAAGAATGGCTCTGCCTTCCAGATAAGACTTGGCAGGCATGCGTCGCAGCCGCACCTGTGTGCAAAGCCCTGTGCCCTGCCGCACACCGCACTCCACTCGCAGACTCACTTCCTCCCTCACATCCTGCCGGGGCAGCTCCTGGAAAACACACCGCCCACCGTTCACCAGTCCCTCCCTGGCTCCGGGGAAGATGGATATTGTCTTTGCCACCAGGTAGTTCAACACTAGTTCTGTTGACAGAAAATTAAATCTGCCCCCACAGTAACTCCAAAAATAAATAAATAAAATTAGGCTATGCGACAGCAAATCAAGCAGTGGGTTAGCTGTGTATTCGATCCAGATGGATGAAATGTCTGGGCGATAAGCTTGCTCAAGGCCTGAAGAGTGGTCTTCCCTAATCTCTCCAGCCCTCTTTCCACTGGTCAGAGGACTCCAGAACGGGCCGGCAGGAAGGCACTGTGCCAGGCTCCTGGGAAGCCTGACTGCTGCAAGGGGAGAAGCAGCCTGAGACAGCGAGCAGGACCTCGGGCTGTGGGATGCTAGCCTGTGAGCCTGGTTGCTAGGAGACAGCAGCCTGCGTGTGGGTGAGATGACGTGAGGTGTGTGGGCAGGGCTGGAGCAGAACCTGGCAGGCAGTCCCAAGAAGACAAAAAAAGGAAGGGCACATCTGTTGGCTTCATCTGCAAAGTCACAGATAACACAGAAAAATAGCCAGGAAAACGCACCATGTCCCCTCGTCCAAAAATAAGTCACACTTGGGCAGCGGGAGTAGCTCCAAGGCTCAGCCGGTTCCAGTGGCTTATTTGGGAAAATGTTGGCTCCATCTTCTCCTTGGTTCTCTGTTAGTTTGGCTTCCAGGGCTGAGAAGATGTTTTGGGTGAGTAGACTAAGGCTCTGCTGAGCAGACGTGCCGAGGACCTGTGTTTCTCCTCAGGGCGGGAAAGGCAGCCCCGGGGGATTGTGGGGGGAGTAGCACCCTGTTTATGTCTGCCCAGGTGTGGAGAAATAAAACGTGTTGGGAAACAGATACTCGCTCACCCATGTTCCCAGCAGCATCATTCACAACAGCTTAGGGGTGGAAACAACCCAAGCATCTACAGACAGATGAGCAGATCAACAGAAGGTAGTCCCTCCAGACGACGGAACACTCAGCCTTCACACGGGAGGAAGTTCTGACTGTGCTACAGCGTGGGTGAACCTGGAGGGCGTCGTGCTCTGTAAAATAAGCCAGACTTACTTTGTCTACTATGAAGAGATGTAATTGTTAATAGCTGCATAATATTCCACCAAATGAACATATGCTGATTTGCTTAACATTCGCCTCCTGTCAGACATTTAGATTGTTTCCAAAAATTATCAATTGTAATGTGGCAAAATGTTTCTGAACAGTGAGGATTCTGTGCCTCCCCAGAACGGAGTTTCTCATCGGAGGCGTGATGTCGGAAGGCATCTGAGGCTTCTGGGGGTGGGGCGGGCTGCTGCCCCGGGAGAGCTCTGCCGGTCTCCCTGCCTCTGCAGGGGAAGGAGCCCCACGCACCGCCCCCAAGGCAGGACTGTGCCTTCTCATTTTAAAAATCACTTTTCTGCACACGGACGTAAGTTTAACAGGTTTTCTTCTGTGACATTTACATTTCCTCCACTTCTTTCATTCTCTTATTCACTCAACCCGTGTTTACGGGACACCTGTTGTATGCCGTGGGCATTTGTATGTCTTCCCTATGTCTACCGCTAGGGATGTGGGGAATTGTTCAGTATGCAATCAGCAAACACCATCCTCCCTGGGGGAAGCCAAAGATGAACCAGAAGTTGTTACTCCATGCAGTGAGGGTGACTTGGGGCCCTGGGCCCAGATTAGCCCTTTCGTGTGTTAGCTGTGGGGTGTCTAGACAGCTCACTTGGCCTCCTTGAAACTCTATAAAAGTGGATTAAAACTGGTGGCACCAACCTTACAGAGCAGTGGGGAGAACTCAGTAATAAAATGCATTTTTAACTCTTGCTATGGAGAAAGGCTCAGCCTCAGGGCCATGGGCATGGTGGAGGGCAGTGTTGAGGGTGAGAACCAGTGATTGAAGGGCAAGTCATCTGGGAACAGTGACCCCAGTGCCTTCCTCATCGCAGCTTCTAGCACAATGGCCATCAGGCCATGAGAAAAGCCCTGCAGATGCAGCTGACATTTGGGAGCATCCCCTACAGTGGCCAGCCCTTGCAACATCACAGCGCAGGTAGGGGGGAAGCTGCCCCCATGGCAATGAGCTTCCTGTGGGCTCTGTAGCACTCTCCTCATACATGCTAGCTAGTGACTCCTGAGCAGTGTGGCTCAGCTGGTTGGGCATTGTCCCACAACGTGAAAGGTCTCTGGTTTGCTTGCTGGTCACGGCGCAAGCCCAGCTGCAGGTTCGGTCCCCATTTGGGACGTGCACAGAAGGCAGCCAAATGGTGTTTCTCATGTCTCTTTCTCCCTCCCCTTCTCTCTAAAAATTTAAAAAAAAAAACATTATAAATAAATAAATACTAGCCAATGAAGAGACTACAACCCAAAGAGAGAGAGAAAAGTAACGTGGAGGAAAGAGACAACAGAAAAAAGCAATTGCAGGAAGACCCTTGGGTGTATTATTGAACCTCGGAGAGCTTACAGAAGACACAGGAGCCAGGAAACAAGTTTTAGACTGCCTTTTGAAAAGGAACATTCAAAGAACCAGAGGGAGCCCTTGGAAATTAAAAGCCTGAAAATCAAAATTAAAATGTCAACAGAAGGGTTGGATGAGGAAGTAGAAATGAGAAGACAAAAAGAAAAAAAATGCAGGCAAGGAAATTAAAAGAGCAATCCAGGAAGCACCTGTGTGTGACAAAGGAGAGTCCCGCAAAGAGAGAACAGAGACAGTGAAGTGGAAGGAACCGTCGGTGACGTCCTCCAGGAAAGTCCGCCAGGAGTGGGAGACCAGCAGAGCCCACTGGCGTCAGCACGATGTGTGCAGAAATCCCCCCAAACCACACTGCAGACGCGCAGGATGTGGAGAATGAGAAGACGCTGCATGTTTTCAGAGAGAGAGAGAGAAAAACACAGACGTGGGTAAAGCAGAGGATGAGGGAGCAGGACAGCTTCAGATACCCAACCGCCTGAGACCGGAAGCTGGAAGGCGTGAAGCGAGAGAAATTACCCAGCACCCAGCACGCCATCCTCAGTCAAGCCACTGATCTCAAGGGACAGTGGAAGGAGACACTTTGTCTGGAAAGGCTCAGGGGGTGCACCTTCTCAAAACAAGGGCACAAACCAAGAAACGGGGGCCTGGACTCAAGAAATAGGTGCCGCATCCCAGACATCCCTGAGTCGTGAAGAGGAGAGAGGCCAGGGCCCCAGCTGGGCATAGCCAGCCCGGAGCAGAGTCGTTTCCACTGGGGAGGCTGGGGATGGAAGAGCCGCAGACACACAGACTAAAGTAACTCCAGGAGAAAAATAAGTCCTAGAACAGAAGTGTTTCTTAGTGTACATCGTACCACGTGAACAATACTTTCATATAACATAAGCACTAAATTTTCATTTAGCCAAAAATTGTGATAAAACTATTGGGAAAGCAACACGCCTAAGAGAGCGAATACTCCGCCTTCCCGAGTGAGAAGTCAGTGGGCAACGTCCAACCGACAAGAGATTTGTAAACTATTTTTTGAAATATGGAAGCAAATACCAAAGAAATAGCTGATAGAAGCAGCAATAGTAGCCCTTTGAGAGTGGAGCATACATGCTTCGTTTAAAAACAGTTCTATCCCTGGCTAGTGTGGATCAGTGGATTAGGTGCTGGCCTGCAAACCGAAAGGTCATCGGTTCGATTCCCAGTCCGGGGCATATGCCTGGGTTGCAGGCCAGGTCCCCAGCTGAGGGTGTGT